AGATCAGAAAATGGCAGACTTAAAACCTAAGTATTCCGATGCATACATTGTCGGAGAAACAAGAAGGCTGAGAGATTTCACGCTCAACTGTGAACCTGAGAGATGAACGATGAGCATTGAACAGTCCCTAAGAAAGGAAACAACCGACGCAATTTGAATTGCGATTTTCTAGCAAACGTATGATCATGGGGATCTGAAATATGATTTGTCATGATGGTGAGAAATTTATGAGAAAAATCGGAAATTCGTGATACCTAAGAAAGGAGCCGTAGGAAATCTTAGAAACCTGAACAACACTTTGTTTACAAATGACAAATTAGAATCTACTTTACAGTTAAGAGCTTGACTCAAGAGCCATGAGCCATGAGGAAAACTTGAGAACTTTCAAGTACGTGAACTGTTGAAAGATAGGAAATTTCAGAAACGTCATGCGTAAATTATCGGAGAAACGAGATCTTGAAATTTTTGAAACACGATATGTTCGAAAATGAAAAATGTAACGTTCTTAAAATACGAATTGTCGACATATCGAGAACACGCCAAAGGGGTGGAAGATGAAAGGAAAGCCTCAAGCATCTGAAGCCGGGATTTTTGGTGAAATAAAGGATATAACGGATTTCAAACACAAATTGGCGGAAAATGGAAAATAGTTGCGAATTATCGGTTTGTTACAAACTATAGACATCCTCAATACCATGGGAAACTGGGAAGATTTCATGCATCTTTGATCAGGACCTGGGCGCTATTGAGGTACGAATTGCCGAATAATTAAATGTATGATGGATTTTAAACACGACCTACCATAAAATAGCGAAATCGAAGCCTATGAATTGCAGGCATGTTAAGTGGTGGGAGACCTTAAGTGTTCAAGACATTTCTACCGCAAGTTTCTAGAATCGGAGAACTCGAGGGCTTTAGAAAGATCTCTTCAAATTGTCGCCTAATGAGAAATATAAAATTTATTTCAAAAATTATCGGAAAATTGGGCCCCGTGCTTTTTGAAAGAGAAATTCTCAAGAAATGAAAAACCGCTTTTGAAGATGAATTGTCAAAAAATAAAAGACGTGATAAATACAAAGCACGCATTATTTGAACCTTTAACTTATCTAGCACTTCTATGGAATGGGCAACCTTTCAAGGAACATTGAAGAAAAATAAATGCATTTTCAACTCAAAACATGTTAATAATTTCATGCCCCACTCTTAGTACGTAGTAAGAAACTTCGAAACTGTCGTCCTGAAGAACGTCGAGAAGAACTTTTCGATTTCAATGCATCACATCTTACAGATCCATGTACTTTTAAGTGGACGCAATTTATTCATTGAAAAGGAATAAAAAATCGTTAATTCAATCAATGTCAACTAAAGGACATCATCGTCCTATGTTTAGTACGTTAGTTGTAGCAGTAGTTAGTAGTTTTATTGACAAGATATTGGAGGAGATTGTAATGCGATAAATTATATATTGTTACTTATGCTTTTCTTCCCGGATTTGGAAATGCTTGAATATGTGTGAGTTGAGTTGCAAGAGGAAAATGTGATAAAAGGAGACTTGTTTTCTATTGAAAAGTTGCGCTCTTCGTAGCTACCTGTCAATGAAAGTATTACCCGTCCCTAGTCGCTCATTCCTTTCTGGCAGCAATAGCCTGCTCAAACAACGAGCGATTTTTTTGCATCCCGCACAGTGTCTATGTCGGGTGAGTACGGCGCAGAGGGTAGCTTTTCAAGCTTAGTACTAGTCATGTTTCTTTGGCTACTTTTGCTATAGAGAGTAGAATCTGGCCATCCTCAAAATTTACGATATCATAATTTGTGGCACATTGAACCAGTTTTTTCTTCTGATTGCGTCAATTGTTTAAACGTAAAAAAAATTTTGGCTTAAAGTAATCATACTGCACTACACCCAGCTGCCAGCACCAGCAAAGGAGCCATTATGGATATTCTGCAAGGCATTAAGCCAAGCTTAAGTTTTAGAAATCTTGACCGCTTCCACTGTTTATCAACTGTAACGATTCAGTAGCTCTATCGCTCGAATTAAGTAAAGATTCTCGGAAATACCTTTGTTTTTATACGAAACCTAACATGTTCAACGGACAATGTGACAGGCATCCAATTTCAAACTTGGTTATAATACTGCGTTGTTGAACTGCGTGCAAGTACTTCTGGCGAGGCCATCAGTTCCGAAAATCGAAATTCATTAAATGTAAGTAGAAAAATTTTTTTATTTCTGTTTTGTTTAATTTATAATCTTTCACTTAAGGTGACCAAAAAAAAGGTTCGCCATCGCTTCGTAAAATAGACAATTTATTCAATTTATTCAATTTCAAGTGAAAGCAAATTAAAAACTTTGCTTTTTTTTTGTTTTAATTTTAAATTCCCCTATCTTAATAAAATTTAAAAATCTTAGAGCCACAAAACTATTCGTCTTGAACTTTAAATTTCCAGCATTTCTTGTTGTAGTTAAAGCAACGTTGTTGAACTTCCATTTCTGCCAACATGCGTTCGCATAATAACCCGTGAGAAGCTATCTGTATGCGACTTCAATTTTATATATGTTATATCGTTATAAGTCAAGTAGGGATTATACATTAATTTGCAAGAGAGAAAACAGAAGCGCGTCTTCAAGTCTTCTTCGCTATATATTCACTTAAAGTCTTAAAATCGTACCGAAAAGTTAAACTATTACTAATAAAATCCTGACACATTATGGTCTCATTTGCAAAAATTACAATCAGAAAGAAAGAGAGAGAGAGAGACAGAGATAGATATGCCCAACTTTGCGTGCACCTCCTCAGCATTATTCAAGATAATGCTAACAAAATAATTCTCGTATACTTTTCTTTTCCTTTTCGCTTCCCTGTTAGACCCCACTTCTAAGCTCAACAAATGCAATCCTTTTCTTTTTTTTCTTTAAGAAGCTAAACGCAGAAAATGTGAACCACGAACAGAATGAATAATGAACACAAGCTTGAAATATTTTGCTTACCACTCTACACTTGGGTTGAGTTACTTCAAAGCTTATAAAATGATGTTTAAATTGTGCTTGTAATCCATTACAAGTTTTCCAGCTTCTAGTTAATGGTCAGCCAAGATTCGTCTTAATAGCTTTCTCACTTGTTATTCCGTAAAAATGTGTATCTGCGCGCACATCCATGTCAGCATAAGTGGTAAACCAACCATGTAAGCTTTCAAGCAAAGCAAGCAATATGGCCTTAAAAAATTAAAAAAAACAAAAAGACAAGAAAAACTATGGGAAGGTATACACTTGTACCACTAAAGATTACGCTTTCAAATTGACTTTACAAGCAACGTTCGTGTTTTTGCCATGTGATGTGATGCGATGTTTCATGATAACGAACACAGCAAGAAAACAATCAATATTCGCATTAAAACGAATCTCGGATCCTTCTCATATAAATTAACAAACAAAGCTAAGTCAGTGAAATAATATTGAAGAAATATGTTTATTGCAATAATAGATCATCTTTTATCCAAATTGTTATCGGGCACGAAAATGGGCAAGAAGTTAAATACCTTCTCCATTGGCCCAGTGCGATTTCAAATCTCCCAACAGTAACGATATTTGAATATCTTCTTTCTAGTGCATCTTAAGCATTTGCTCTATGGACATCTCTCGATCACAAAACGAGGCAGGTTTCAAGAGGGCGGGAATGTAGTAGTAAGTATGCGGAGGCTCTTTGACTAATACGCAAAATAGATGATATAACGAATATACATTAACCTGTGGTGCTGGTGGACTGGAAGAGCAAAATACATATAAATATATATAAATGCACGCCAATATGAAAACAAGTTTTTCCTTTGTAGCAATTGGACATTCACACGCATCGCATAAAATGTCCACAATCATTTGTAATACGATGCGGATTCTCTAACTCGTTGTTTATTCGTTTTTTTTTTTTTGCATATTTTGTTAGTATGCTTGCTCAGTGCTCTCGGTCATCTAATTTGGTGGCAGCTAACAGCATCTCATTAGATATCTTTAATTTGACAATTTTGCCAATTTATATGGAAATTAATAATCTGATGAACATGAAAGAGTGTTACATTTAAGTTGTTTTCTTTTTCTTTCTTTTTCTTTTTGTATTCGTTTTTGTTTTTTGCCTGCGTGCTTAATAATGATTTTTTATTATAATAATAATAATTCCTTAACTAACCTCCCCTGTGGAAGCCCTACCATCCTGCAAGAAAATAAACTTCTATACCCACGTTCGTCTTACTTCTTTCCATAGACTAGAACTATTTATCCATTTAGTATTTCTAAACAATTGGAAACAACAGATTTTCAATTTAATTTAACACATACAACTAACTGATAAGTACGCATATATCATATGTTAGTTATCTGTTTTACCGATTTTATTAAACAAAGAAGAGATGTTCTTTCCTTCTTTTTGTTCTGTTTTTCCACTAAATGAAACGAGAATATATACGCTTAATCTCGCATCGATGGCTTTTTTACAAAGACCTGTTGAATGATTGAGAACGAATATGCGTTTATTCTCTAAAGTCCCACAATACATGCAAATATCTTGATAATTGTATACGCTTATTCTCTAAAGTCCCACAAACATGTAAAGAAATTTATTCAAACATTCTCAATTGTATGGAATTTGTATTTTCTCAGATGGTTGGAATTTGTATACGGAAATTATTGAGAATATATACGCTTAATCTCGCATCGATGAGCATAGGGGACATTATGGCCTTCATACCAAACCTTATTTTTAGCAAACAGTTCTTTAAATATCCGAATTTGTGGGGTCTTGATAGCACATATTCATACAAATGCTTGAAATATAATATATCATCTTTTTTATATAAATGTATAAAAAATATGCATTCATCTCCCCTTGTACGTCTCCTCAATAGTTTTATACAATTTTTATAGGCGTGGCATTCGATTTTACCCTATTTCCAAAAATAAAATGATAATTCTTTCCTTATATTCATACAAGTGCTTGAAATATAATATATAATCTTTTTTAACTAAAAGTTTAAAAAATATGCATTCATCTCCCCTTGTGAGTGTAGGGACAGTTGGTTAGCACTAAATATGATCTCAATCTGTTTGTTACAAGTTAGCGTTAACCGAAAAATGAAGTTTTCTTGGCTTGATCATATCGTGGATGATTATTGGATAAATACGGTTTAATACTTTTGAAAGTGTATAAGGAAAGACCCAATTATGCACATGAGAATTCTAAAATTTAATTAGCTTTTATGTATATGCTGCAAAGTTTAGATACGCGATGCCCAGTGACTAACGAAATGAACCATGCATAACTCGGCCATAAGTTAACCGTTCAGCGCCAGATCGAAAGCCGGCGTTTCCGAGCGCGAGTGAGAAAGAAACTTCACCTTTCTGTGGGCAACGGCAATTCCACTTATTTGCCACAAGGCATCAGGCCGTCTGGTGAACGTGAAGAATTCGATTGAATTTCAACCTTTGAACCATGGGAGCGCCATGGCAAGGAACGTTGTTGGGCTGTTGTCTTACTTGTTCCATTCCATGTCCCATTCTAATGGGGTCTCCAATATTACGTGATTGTTCGGTTGCTATCGGTAGCGCTGCTGATTGGTAATTCAGCCCAGTTTCAGCATAACATACTATTCCTTTTTAACCTCACCAAGAGCAGAGCAGAGTGTATAAGATTTGCTCTCCTCAAATTTTAATTAAGCTATGCCAGGTACTGTCAAGAAAAAAATTACATTTGGCAATATTTTGTTTCAAATACATTCTTACAAGTGGTCGCTCATTGTTTTACTCTCTAAAGTAACAAATTTCGAAGTTCAAATATTTCAACCTATCGAAGCTACCGGAGGTGAACCAGGTCGTTGGGCAACGTAGCGAAGGCTTTTCTCTTCACGGGAGCGGTAAATTACTTGACAAACCCTCGAAAAATATTCGTTAACATGTGTTTTAGTTTAGTTTTGGCTCATTTTTGGGAGCCAATGTTTTGGAATACGAAAATACCCGAAATATGATGATGTTGGAGAAAGCCCGTCAAACGAAATTTCCTGGTTTCCGCGTAAGACAAACAATGGAACTTTACAAAAGCTAAAAAAAAACGTGAAACGCCATTGGGATAAGTTAATTCTATCTTGTAAGCGATTTACTGCCAAAACAAACTAATATTTTCTTTATTATAGACGTGTATATTAAAATTGAAACTAATGAGAAATATTTTAAAATTAAAACATTAAATTAATTTATTCGCTTTCTATGTACTGCTGCGTCATAATTATAGCTTGTAATCTTCCATTTCATCATCATTAAAAATTTCGTATTTATTTTTATGCACATGTATTTTTATGTGATGCTGAGAAAGGAGAATAAATATTTCCAATATTTACATTCTAACAAGTGGTCGCTCATTTTCTTACTCTCTAAAGTTGCGAAATTCGAAATTCTACAGCTGTTCTCTTGCACAGCTGTTTTACTGTGTAATTGTTCGCGGGTTTAAAATATTCAAAACTTAAGCGCGATACAGGGTTCACCTTAGATCGCGCCCGCCACCTCCTTATCTCTTTCTCGTTTCTCACTTCTTTCTGAATGGAGAACAAGGGTGAGAAGGCATTGTTAACCGTGAAATGAAAATGAGCTTGACAGAGAAACGCATGCCATGATTACACCAAAATAGACATACATATATATACGTACATACTAGCCCAAAGGAATTTCAGAGCGAGACCCCCAGCAATACTATTCCAAATCCGGTGATTAGGAATTATACATGCATGACATACATACATTATACATACGTATGAATTTTGATGGCTACGTGAACGTAGGTTATGAATTCATGATGGATGGGCTGGGAGGAGGGGAGGTACACATAATTTATGAATTATCGAATGCGCACACTTCTACATACAACTTAAAATTCATCCTGTATACCAGATATTGAATTTGTTATTGCTGTTTTGCAACATAGTAAGTTCAGATTGAAAATTAGCACGTCTACTTCCAAGGTAGAAGCCACTGAAAGTGTTTGGGCTTTAAACGAGTACGGCTGATTATTATTCGTATTAGTATTAGTTTGCCATGAATTTTGACACGAAGAGAGCTTATTGTTCTTGGCATAGATACTATTCTGGTAATTCATGGCGTAAGACCAGCATATAATCGTCGGAAAAGCTTTTCCAAGCCACAACCACTCTTTTTGCACTTTTGCGAGACACTTTTGTCTCCTATTGTTTTCGCTTTCTCATGCGCAGAAAAAAAGTCTTATATATATATATATAAAACTACTTCTTTTTTCAACTCCATAAATTTTGATCATTGTTAATGGTGGTTCTGTTTCCTTTATATCTGCTACATATATTTATTTATACTCATTTATTTGTCTCCCAAGACAAAAGGAACTAATGTATTTTGAAATTAAATAAGTAAAGTTATTAATACATTTGTAAATATTATTACATAAAAAGTGTATGTTATCTCAAAAATCTTTGAATCTCTGTTAACAGCATAATAAATGCGAATTTTTATGCTAATAGTCGTAGATAAAACAGTTAATAATTAAATGAATTTTTCTTTTTAATTAATGGAAAATATTTTTTGTCAGTAATTTGCAGATTTTACATGAAAAATTAAAATTATGAAAATGAATTCAAAATAATAATAATAATAAAAATAATAGTAATAAAAAATATGTTATTAAAAACATGAAACTTATATATAAATACTAAATTAATTTTAATTAATTATTTTATATTACTTTCATAAATTTTTTTCATTCTAAAAATTTACGTAAATATATGCACATTGTGTCTTAAGTTATGGTGGTTTCTTTTCTCAATTCGCTTTGTACACAATTAGTGTAATAGTTACAATTTTAACAATTTGTTAATACTAATATACGTTCGCCGTCGATTTAGAATGTTTCAAGTGTGTGTAGTTACAACGGGCACCTGACAATATGGGCATTCCGTAATTGTTGTTGCACACGTATCGCATAATATGAAATGATTGCATGGCTCTAAAGTTACCGTACGATTATTCTCTTCACATTTCATACATTTTTTTGCATTTTCCAAATATAAAACTTTCTCCACATCTTCTAAATCCAAACGCAGTTTTGCCTATGATATTTATTTTGTTAAATAAGACAATTCATTTGTGCTTGAAATATGTCACATAAGATATAGAAGCGACTTACCTGTAATTGCTTTAATTTTTGAATTGATAAATTACGTAATTCTGATGATAAATTCAATTGAATTTGTGCGGACTCGTAACGTTCCTTCCAATCTAATACTTCTTGTTTAGCTAAATTTAACTAAAGATATTAAAGTTGAAGTGAATTTTTTTTTCTTAAATTAAAAAAAAAAGTGCGATCAAGAGTCAGGCAAATCCATTACCCAAATATATTTGAAGCATTAAAACAAAACACCAAGACGAAACCTTTCCATTCTTTCAAATTGTTATTCTATATAATTTCGGAGCTAAGCCGTGCGTTATTAATGGAGTAAAGATTTAAAATCTGACAAGAGCCATTGGCTCATCTTCTTTGCGCAGACAATAGAACGTAGAGGAAAAGCAAATTATAGCGTAGCAAGTGGAAATATATATGAAATTATATAACATTTGAGGACCCGGAAAACGATGTGATAGTCAACGTTTGGAGGACAACGTAAATATTTACTTGTACATATTTATTCCTATCCGTCTCTGTTCAAATCAAACGAACTCGTAACGATGGAAAGCTCACGTTCCGGTTTCTCCAGCTTCTGAATACGTGAGAGTAAATCTAATGCCTGCTTTTAGATTGATACGACATTTTTGATTCATTACATACCTTACGGGTTATATCTTCTATACGGCCAGATAATTTTAAAATCTGAGCATTTTTAGTCATTAATTCAATTGTTAAACGACCCACATCGCTACTATTTTGTGTATGAAGCGATTGCAATGAAAATGCATTCTTATTTGTAGTTAAATTATTCCCAGCAGAACTGCTATTTAAGTCATCAGCCAATGCATTTAATTCTGATATTCTTACGGAAGGACTAATCGGTAAGCTGTCATTAAAACCGGGTGATATGACATGCGAAGAGAAAAAGAAATTATTACTGCAATCATTTTGATTAGTAGCCGTCAAAGAATTGCTAAATTTGTTTGTAGTGGAGCAACCATAATTAAAAGCATCCTGAACACTGAAGAGGCTCGCATGATTGTTTGGACTGTATGGAATGTTCACGGCAAAGTTTCCAGAACTAAAGTCTATATAAAATTTTTATAAAAAATTGTAATTATTATATCTTTTATACTTTTCTTATCGTTCTTTACACTCACCGTTTATTGAGTTATTAAGAGCAGGATTCGGAATGTTAATAGGAGCCGAAGTGCGAGTAATAAGACTACTATTCGCTAAACTTGCCGATAAACTATTGTCACGCTGCTCGTCAATCGTACAAGCTGCTCATCCATTCATTAATTTACATTCATTGAAAAAATAAAAAAAGTTTATGCAAAAGATTCTTACTGAGTTTTTGTACTCACAAAGCCTATCCATGGGCAAAGAGAAATTTAAATATTTTCCCTGATTAGCAGACTTTTCTAGAGTATTTACCAACATACTTTTCGTAGATTCATTGTCGTCGATATTTAATAGCTATCAGGAGAAAAAGGAATACATATACGCATTTACATATAAAATAAATAAAAAACTAAAATAATTTAAGAACAAAAATTAGATACTTAGCATCTACGTTGTATATACACACATATATAAAGAAATGATGTCTAGTTTCTTACTTTTAGGACCGTTAAGAGACTGATCAAATTTGCATATTCCATAAAATGTAAATATCTCAGGAGAAAGTAGAGCCAAAGATCAGTTTTTATTATAAGAAATCGATTTGATTAAGAATATGACAAATATTCTGACAAACTTGAACTTTTCTTTTGCAACTTCCGGGGCCGTAAGAAGTCAAACGATACCCAAATCGGAAAGAATAGACATGGTTTTAGATCGGCTCAACAAGTTCCTCTCATCAAAAATGCAGTCAAAATAATGTTTGATTTGACGTTTGATTGGGTAACTCCGAAGAATAGAAATGGCGTCGAGGTAGGATATATACAATCGAAGAATTTTTCAAATACAACCCACAGGCATTGTGGCACACATTTGTGTTGTGGGTATTAATTAATGGACCAAAAATTTGACGCAGTAAGAAAGTACGCTACTAAAGAAAGAAACAAAATGGTGCATGGTTTGACAAAAATATAAGGATGTTCGAAGATGACCGAACGAGTTAATTGAAAATCAGCTAACAATCGTCATATTAATTGGTAAGAAAAAGTACTGGACTTTTGGCTTTCAGATTAACAAAGTCAAACTGATTAATTAAGCCTAATATTTTTTTTTTGCCATCGAGATAAAAATAGTTTATATATGAAAACAATTGTATTGAAGTAATACATACATTCTCGCTAATAGCTATCAATCCCGACTTGTTACTAGTATCTTGGGAATTGATGTCTGGCAATGCATTCGTTATGAGATCACTTAAAGCTAAATTTGTTGAAATTCCATCTACTTCCCGCGGCTTTTCCTCAGTGACAATGTAGGCTACTTGGCGAATTTTTTTACCGTTGCCGTCAAATGAAGTCAATTTAAACAGATCGCGCAGTACAGCGGAATATAGAAATAAAAAAAAATTATTATTATTATTATTGTTACGTGTTTAATATAATAAAATAAACGGACAAAAAAGAAAAAAAAGTAGTAAAGACCAGATAGGTGTTCTTGTTAAGGATAAAAATAAAAAATTAAATGATTATTGTAACCATTTTAAACACATTTTCAATAAATTCATCATTTAATTTATTTATGGCGGTTTCTCTTAAGACATTCATTGGGTGTAAAGATGTTAAGGCTAAGTCGAAAAACGGTTGTACATTCGTGTTATTTTAAGACTTCAACCAATTATGCGAACTTAATTGATTTTAAAGGGAAAGTAAAAAACAAATACGTACAGTATAGAGTGCCGCGGGTAACTCAAATCAAACTTGGTTTATCTATAAAACTGTTACTTCTTGTTTGATTTTAAAGTTTCTTCCGATGAATTTGTTGAAAATTTTTCACCGCTTTTTTTCTTTCGAAGCAATTATTAAGATTTTGGAAAATTTCTTCCAAACCCAAAATAAAATCGAAATGTGTTTCGCAAGCAGCGAAGTAAGAACAATAAGAAATGTTATTATAATTACGTTCGACATGTGCGAAAGCACAGAACACACTACGGGGACAATAGCCAGCTTGTTGCACATCGTTACATTTTGTCGATTTATAAATTTCCGGATGAAACTGCTGTTCAGTACGCGTATGACAATATTGACAATTATCACCAGACTCGCAATTACTTGGCTCTCCCCATTCTTCGCCGTGTTTAACATTTGGACAAGGGGTAGACCTGTAAAAATTGATCACTATTAGTTTTCAACAATACAATTTCTTTCTAAATAAATATTTTATACCTATACTTTACTTTCCGAGGACTTCGTCTTTTATCCTTACTATTATGGTACTGCGGACAAGCGTAACCTTGACGACACAAACGGGGTGGCCGCTTGCAAGGCTCAGTTTTGTAATTAGCCAAAACGTAATTAGTATCCTGCCATTTGGGATCTTCATTCATTAAATTACGCTCTCTATCCAAAGCGTTTTGAGCGTTCGCTCCATCTAAGGTTAATTCTGCATTTTGCAAAGCTTCTAATTCCTTAATATCATAAACGGGTGGACGTTGGTCTTGGGCACCGTGAGCGAACGCGCAATGATGACCATTTTTTACACAATATCCACGACTATCCGTGTCATGCACGCACATGCAGGTTTTATAGTAACGTAAATGGTAACGTCTTTCCGTATCACCAGCTGTACGATGCAGAAATGGACATCTAGCAAAATAAAATTTAATCAATTTTAAAGTTTTCGTTTATCACCAAATGTTTAAAAATTACTTTACCGAAATAGAACGAAAAGCTCAACGATTACATTCAGAAAACCTATGACTTGTATTAGATTCTATGAAGTGTTTGTTGTTACAAAATTTCCTATGAGATTCACTGCTGATTATGTAATTGAAGGTTTGGAAAAAAAGAATCGAAGCTACTTGTGTTTTTTGACATAACAATAGTAAGCAAAAAATCCTACCGGGAATGGCCAAAATATGCTTGATATGCTTTCCTGAACTCTTTTTAACTTAGTTGCCGTTCTTTAGAGTACACGTAAAGGATACAAGTTTTTAAATTTCCTGCCCTCATAACTAAGCTCACATGAAACTCCCGTACATGAGAAATCAATACATTTGAAGCATCTTTACTCTATAACTTACTCATCTCCATCTGGGCATATTCCTGTTGTCTCATCATATTTTGTACAGTAATTGTCGGCACTATAATTAAAAGTACCATCCCGTTTCCGTATTGGTCTTCGGCGTCTCTGATTCTGAAAATGCCAATTGAAGCATACAAAAGGACGATGTTGATTACATTTGTGTTGTAGAAACGATTGACATTGCTCAACGCGAAATTCTTTCAGGTAACTGCATAAAAACAAATTTTATCTTTTAATAAATACATTTTATTAATTACTTTGATAAATTAATTGTTTATTTACGTATAATGATTTGGTTTTTCCTGCTGTGTAGACAACAAAAGCTTATTCGTTTCAATCGCCATTTTGAAATATTGTATTGTTCATCGAAACATTTTTTGTTGTTAAACGTCTGTTTTCGACGACTATTAAAAGACTGTTCTCAGCGAAACATTTATTTTCGACGAATAAATTTGTGTGCATTTAACAAACCGCAACTAATTAATATTACAAATCAAAAATAAATTCGGAAATTAGAGACAAAAAATGTGTATTGTATTTTGCTATTTTAAATAATTTAATAACACAAAAAGGTGAAAACTTCAAAGTTTTAAAAATTTTTTTTTTTAAAAGCTCGGTAACCAGCATTTTAAAAAACTTGTTCATTTATATGTTTGCTTATGGTAATATAAAGAATTCATGTTTCCGCAGCCAAAACGCAGTGACGACCAGCGTAAGGAACTTTTGCAGCCATTACGTAATAACTGAAACCAGAATTGTTTAATGTCTGTAATAAAGTTCAAGTCACCATGTCCAGCCATGATGTAGCTGGTCTTAGCGAACGCGATATACGAATGGCTAAGTACATGGAAGAGCAAGCTAAGCGTTTTGTTTAAGTGTTTTCTTATTTATTTTAATTTGCAAAGAGTTTATGTTGAATAAATTTATTCTCATTTTATTTAACTAAATTTTAATCAACGGTGGTGGAACGGATTTACTTAAAATTTCATAATCAGCTCTTTCTAAAACATCTGGGTTGCATGGTCTAAAGTATAACCAATGGTTCGAAAAAATGCCCGAGCACATCATTATTTATCAAAACAGCCAAAATCACTTATTCCATATTCCAAATTTTGTAATCAATTTGATTTGAAAATGAAACATTCGTTTATGGCAACACTGTTGTAGACGCCATGTAATGTATTTTAATTTGTCATTTTCGTAATAATGTAACGATTGAAACATATTTACACCGAGAACTATTTGCAACGAATAAATAAAAAAAACAACTGTTATTGCATTAGACAATAAGAAATATTATTTAGCAAACATAAATTTTTCAATAAAAATTTAGTACATTGAGTTATTTGGCTTAGTCCATCTCCATTCAACATACCAAAAAAAAAAAAATAAAGTTATTTTAAAGAAGTAGAAAAATAAGTAAAAAACATGGAAGCAAAGACATTAAAAAGTAGTGATATTAAATACCTTGAAGTAAGTAACGGGACTTTTTCGGTTCATTTACTTCTGCCGGCTAGTAGCTTTTCTTATTTAATGCGTGTACGCGATTCTGGTTGTAAAATTGTTTGTATATTTCGTATATAAACAAGTCTAAATTTCTGACCTTAATTTGCCTTTTAAGTTAATTCACGCTTATTCTCTATTTTCAAAAAAAAGAAGAAAATTCTAAATAAATACAAAAACGATTTTGTTTTTCTCACTCGCACTTATACGTAAATAACATTCATCTCAATGATAGTTAAGTGTGTTAAATGTGGAACGAAGGGTAAAGACAAAATTTGTGTTCGATGTCAAAAACAAACTATTATTTCAACATAACATTAATGCATTTTATTCAAGTGTAAGAATTTGATAGATAGCTGATTGCTAAATGTTTTGAGCTAAAGTTAACAATAATTTCGCTCATCTTTACCAAGAAAAAACTCTTTGCCGGCAAATGTATATAGATGCCTAAGTTGAAAAAGATAATGCAATTATTTTTACATTCACCGAAGAATTAAAGCCTGCAGAAAAAATTTGTTTAGGAACTTTGTGGTTCTCTAGTTTGAAAAGAAGAGGTAATAGAGCTAATTCCTCAAAAAGAATTGTTACTTGGTTTGACTTTCCATAATTTTCTTGCATTTTCGAAAGGATTGCTATGTTTAGTGCGCTACGGACATGTACATTTCTTTCCGTCATTAGTTTTGAAGAATGATCCTCTCTTAGCGCTTTTTGCTTATCATCGAAAACTTCAGTGCTTGCTTTTTACATAAGTATTCAATCATTGGACAATTTTTTAAAATCCTCATGTTTTCAGGCAATCTATTCACAAATCATATTGCTCACGATCGTAAAAATTAAGAAAGCTGGCACTTGCAAATTTTAAAAAAGATCTAAAACAAATGGATAGTTAGGGCTTTCCGATCATGGGTGATCTTAAAAGTGGGTGAAGAAGGAGTCTTAAAGCGTCTATAGGCTTGCAATCGAATCGGGATATCGTATTTCTAGCCGGAAATGCAAAAATAAAAGTCTCCCGAGCAACCAATTAAAATACGTCTGCATTTAACAAAGCATTTCACGATTGGAATGAAAATATGGATTAAAGCTCTGTTGAAAGTCTTCGAAAAACCATAAATAAAAATTTCTTAAACTTGAAGTCTTCTGAAATTATATTGAATTTTTTGAAAGCATTGTTAAATGTACTGTAAAATAAAAAAAATAAAAAATTAAAGATTAAAAAAATTCGAAATAAGAAATTGTTTTTCAAAATCTTTGCATTACATTCTTTGATGCCAATCTCTCCGGCAATTTTCCATGGTAGGGGATGTTTGGATTTGCGTTTATTGAAAGTAATTCTGTCTTATTTTTTTTAAGAAACGATGTAAAAATTTAACCCAATGACTAGTTTCAACAAAGCCATTTCACAAACATACAACTTGGTGGTAGTAATTTGATGTTTAAGATCATGCCCTGCTTTTCGATTAGCCCGAATTTTCTCAATATACCTTGCGCGAAAAATGGGTAATTGCAATAAGAAAAACCTAATTTAAAACCCATATTTATTGTTTTAGCGCTTACAGGCAGAAGATTTTTTATTTATTATAACAAAAGATAGAAATAAGAGCCTGAGCAGACAGGTATAATACGATGAAAGGTATGAAATGTTATGAAAAACAAACAATAAAAGCCATTTATTTTAAAGTTGAAATATATTAATCAAATTGTTTTATTAAAGTGGTAAATGGTCGTTGCCAAATTATGGATCAATTTGTACACAAAAATATATCAGATATATACAAATTACATATAACTAATTAATTTTCTTAATACCCATCAAGAAACAATAATTTGAAACCACATGTGTGGTATGTCAAAATTTTTTGTAAAGCAATATCGTAGGGAATTTACCGATCGTTTTTACCACTTGGAAGTTCTTAAAATACATCGAAATGTCATTAATTAAATAAAATGCGAAAAAAGATATCGACACGTTTTTGAATTCAAAAAAATCAGTTCAGTTGCTTTTATACAATGTAATATAAAGTCGTATTTATTTCTTTGAACTAGTATAATTACGACTTAAGCCCGAGAGCCGCCCTCTCTTCGGTCTATTGACGCCTGGTGTACTAGTCGTAGTCTCGATTTGTCGCGAGCTTCTTTCCGGTGTCTCACAAAGTTGGGGAGGTGGCCTGTGGTTAAGTATTGCATTTGAAGCAAGCGGATACCGTGTACGGTGCACCATTGGAGCAGCTACTGCTGCAAATTTGCTGGTGCTGGGAGCTTCGTCCAT